GCTCTATTGTGTAACTCATCTATATTAAACTCTCAGGACTTGCTGTTCTGAGCACTAAAACACGCTAATCTCCCAGGGCTGTCAGCAGCACACAGTAGCGTGTCCTGTCTATATTGTAAATATCAAGCGAAAGGCAGTGCTGACAAAAGGTTCCTGGTGGACACAGCCTCAGTCAAGTTGAAATTTGTTATATCTTCTTTCAGCTCATGTCTGTCCACTCTTTACTTTGTCTCCCTGTGTTATTTGTCAGCAGGGTCTCTCCTAGGGTCACTTGTGACACACCAGTACCGCAACTTAATTACCCGCAAACCTGAGGGAAAAATAACCAAGAGGCACTCTAATCACTGTGATGCTACTGCCAGAAGTAATGTGGAAGTCCCTTCCTTGCTTTTACTCTGTCACCATGCATTTCATCCTTGGGGCTGGCTTTTCTATTTTCTTCCTCCTCTGACCTCTCTCTCATCCCTCTCACTCCCTTGAGAAAGTTCCAGTTGGTGGCCTTTCTCCAGGGTGACTGATGGCAGCTCCATGGGCAGACTCATCCACACTTAATTACCCACAAGCCCCTTGGAGGGCAAATGTAGAATAACTGAGGCATGCGCACTGTGCAGCCCCCTTTTGTTCCTTCATCGCAGCACCACTGACTGGACTATTAAAACCCATCCACACCCATCCTATTTTCACCATATTACATAACAAAACCATTTTTGGGAAATTCCACTCTGGAAGAGGATTGTTATTAGCATAAATATCGCTCAAAGTTTATACATTTTTAATGAAATAATCACTTTGAGTTGACATTTCCCCCTTTGGTTATTCCAATGCAACATAACTTCAAACCCACAGAACTGTTCCTCTTACATTTTCAGACAGACCAGCGGGGCCTCTGATTGGTCACAGTTAAGCTTCAATGCCTCTGGGTAACAGAGTTTGTCATGCCCAATACCCAGAGTGATATTATGAAAACATGGGATTGTGAGTACACTGCAAATCAAGAGCCCAGTCGTTCTCATCCACAGATGCCCTTGAAGCTGCGCATATGCACATATGAGACACTGAGATCAATTTGAAAATTTATTTTCATATAAAAAGACACTATGAAAACATTAGAGGACTACTTTGTACAATCTTATGTATAAAAAGAACAAAAATGAGGGAGAAAAGGAAAGGGAGGGTTTGTCAGAAATAAATCAACTGGAATGTTGGATGGTTGTAGCAGTCGGTTAACACCTAAGCATCAAAGGCTGAAGGGGTGGAGGTGAAAGTTAACATAGAAGTTGGCTTCCACATGGAATAAACTTGCAGGTTTGCTTATCAGTGTTTCATATATTTTTTTCTGAGCTTGGCAGGCATCTAACAGAAGAAGAAAACATAGCTGAAATACCCTGACCAGCTGACCAGCATCATCTCATGTTAGTCACATCAGCGTTTCTCGTAGCAAACAAGATGCAAGATGATCCTTAGTAGTGGTGGCACCTTTGAATAATCAGTCAAACATCTCTATCTCAGTCAGTTGAGCAGCATCTCACTTACCGTTCTTGAGGATGAAAAGAAAAAATCCAGTCTCTTGTTGAGCCTGAAAACTCAATGAGGACTGAGAGAAAAATGACAAAATATGGAAAATCTCACTGATAAGACGTAACAAAATCTTAGAGTGGATTCTTTCTTTCTTACTTACTTTCTTTCTTTCTTTCTGCAAGTTACCATGGGAACAAGGCTTTATGGAGATTCATCTAGACATTTCTCTCTAAAATGTTCAGTTTTACAAATAAAAAAAATCTAATTTGTCTGTGTCAAGGTCAAATCTGTTTCATTTGTTTTTTTTCTGTGATAGAGTAACACCCATTTATTGAGATTGTGTAGCTGACGGAGTGCTGCTTTTTTTCTGTTTGGACACACTGTATGGTAGATTTGGATCCTGAGCTTCACAGAAGGTCAGGTGAATGTGACCTTAACTGGGCAACTTGAGGCCGAACCTGTCTCGCTCCCCTGGGGGGAGGCGAGCTGTACGTTTGCCTATCAGCTGATTAGCTTGAAAGGTTAGAAGGGCCCCACTCTTGTCTCGCCATCTGCGCTGCGCTGCACTACTACCACATTAGGGATCTTTAAACAGATGGTTTGAGGGCTGCATTGGAAAATGTCAGGACAAATCGCCATCCCTGGATAATTACTGTTTTGAGCACTCCCCCTTCTTAATCTGCACCTCTAGCTTTCTCTATATATATTTTTGGATCTTTTTCCTTGGAGACCATTTTCTCTCACACATGCTAAATTGTCTCTCATCTCTTTCTACAGAGAGCTGCTTTGACCATGGAAAGAAAAGTAATAGAACCATAAAAGTTACAATGTACATATGTTCTTACATACTTTTCAAAGGAAGTATTGGACACTGTTGGACCTTCAATTTCTCTAATCATAGATAACAGTCTTGCAAATCAAACTGTCCTGTCCTGTTTTAAAGAATGCAATCTTGTATTAAAAAGTCTAACCTTGACAAAGCAGAACTAAATCATTTCTGTCCAATCTCCAAACTCCAATTCCTATCCAAAGTTCTAGAGAAAGTTGTCTACACACAGCTTCTGTCTCATTTAGACTCCAATCAGGCCTCGGTTTCAGATGACCACTGCTGTCTTTAGATCAGATTAGATCTGGTCAATGTACTAAATGTGCTGTTTTAATTCTGTCACACTGCAGCACATGTGGACACGGTTGATCATTGTCTTAATTTTTTTTATTTTTTCGGGCTTTTTGTGCCTTTTTATTGATAGTGCAGTAGATACAGGAAATGGGGAAGGAGAGAGAGGGGGAATGACATGCAGCTAAGGGCTGTCCGATGCGGGACTCGAACCGGGGCCAACTGCAGCGAGGACTGTAGCCTCTACACATGGGGTGGATGCTCATCCAACTGAGCTACTCGACGCCCCTCTTTTAAACTGTCCTAAGGATCAGGTTGGCATCCAACTCAAGTTGTTGGCCTCCTACTTAACATACAGGTCCTCTGTTAAGATTTGAACCTTCTCGTTCACTACTGCCACAATCACATGTGGAGTACCTCAAGGTTCCATTTTAGGGCCCATTTTATTTGCTTGGTCTATGCTCTCTTTAGGCTCTATATTCCCTAAACACGTTTCCTTTCACTGGTATGCTGATGAAACAAAAATATACTTTCCATTGAATCTAGGGGATTCTGACTCTATCACATCCATCCTTATTTGCCACCAGGATGTGAACTTCTTCAGTTGAATGACAACCAGACAGAAGTGACAAGTGTTTTTGGTCCCCCCAACACCACAAGAAGTATAGCTATCCACTCAGGGCCAATGACATCAAACTTTCATGCCCATGCCAGGAATCTTGGTGTCATCTCTGACTTTGCATGGACATTTGACAAACAGATCAACTCTGTGGTAAAAGGCTACTATCTTCAGCACTGCTAAACTGAAGTCCATCCCCTCTCTCAACAATATGAGGACTGTTACCATTGCATTGATCTACTCAAGGCTGATTATTGCAACTCATTGTACCTGGGTATTTGTCAGTCCTCTTTGTCTTGCCTGCAGCTGAAGCAGAATGCTGCAGCGAGACTCCTAACTGGTACCAGATAAAGAGACTGCATTACACCAGTACTAGCATCCCTCCATTGGCTCTACCTGTCAAAAACAGGATTGGATTCAAGGTTATTTTATTTGTTTTTAAAGCCAAGGGGTGGCACCCCTGAGCATTTCAGTACTCCTCTGGCCATACTACAATTCTAGATCCTAAGGAGAATTGTTTTTAATTGTTCCCTGATTGGGGCTAGTGGGTGAGGGAGATCACACCTTTGCAGTGGCAGCTCCAGAGCTTTGGAATAGCCTTTTGTCTTCTTCAATCAAATGTTATGTGATCTTTTATTCTGTTTTCTATTTTACATTTTTGCACATATTTTGATATTGACTTGTATTTCATCATTGGCATTCATTGTTGTTATTCGTGCCTTTTCTATTACTTGTGCCTTTTTACTTTTGATGCCTAAAATTTGTACAGCACCTTGGTCAACTGGTTGTTTTAAACCTGCGATATAAATAAATTTGATTTGATTTGTATTTGTGGTGTGTGGAGGGCTGATTTGCTAATGTAGCAACAGCAGGAAACTGGTAGTCCTCTTGTAGTGACTGAAGTACGGATGTAGAATGTCAAGTAGAAAGCATCACTATTGGCTTTTTTTTTTTTTCCTCTTCAGTGTGTCAAGTCACCTTGTTGCCTTATGTGTGACTTTCTTTCTTTCTGTTTCGCTCTCTCTTTCTAACAGCTGCTGCGCTCACAAGTGCAGGATACAATCATACAGAGAGGGATCCATGTGAACGAGGAATTATACAACTGGCTTCACTGCTAAAATCAAGATTTCATGCCTCCTGGGAGGGTGGGCAGAACGAGCAGAACAGAGGAGGAGAGAAGTGAAGGAGGTGGTAGAAGAAAGCAGAGGAAGTCATGTGTGATTTTAAATTGTTGGTAAAAGAAGAAAAAGAGTTAGCCCGTTGAACTGATCAATAGTTCACTGTAAGCCATACATTTTTGACGCTGAGAGATGCTAAACAGAGCTAACGCGGATTCCATTTGGGCTGAAAATGACTGAGATATTATCTTTTTCTGGCATCACTATGATTGGTGATGGCTGAAATGGATTCAGATGCAGCAATCTTTAAAGGCCTTTTATCTCCAAGCAGTAGGGGAAAAAAAGAATCTGCATGACAATAACTATCCTTCTTTTCCCTCATGGGTAAATGACACGCAGAGCATATTACCTCAGAAAGCAAGCTCACATTTATGTGCTGTGTGTGTCCTAAATCATTTTTTTTTAAGTTCCACATGGGTTAATCCTGACAGGAAATGAAAAAAAGAGAAAAAACAATGAAGAAAAAAAACCAAACAAACCAGTCTGAAAATAAATCATTTCTTCTTCAACAGTTAAACCATAGAACACAACTCAGTTGGAAGTTATTTGTTTCAGTCGTATTATTTTTTCATTAAAAGTTTCAAACCATAGGGGAGGACATTCTTTAAACTAAAGCATAGAAAATACACACAAAAAAGGGGGGAATACGATGTTGACACAGAGGATGTGAGAGGAATGGATGGATGGGATTGTTGAACTGGAACCTGAAAAAAGCAGAGAGGATGGCACATATCAATGAGCAGCTCTTTCCCATCCCCTATCCATCCAAAATGATGAAAAGAAAAAGAAAAAGAAAAAGAAAAAAAAGGAAAGACTGAGAGATTGAATGCTGTCGTCATCCATTAGAAGGGAAAAGGAAATAAATGAAAGCAGGGTGCCTAGGGGGGAGCTACCAGTGTGAGAAACCTCAGTGAGATTTTTTTCCCCTTGCTATAAAAAGAACTGAACGGTGCAGAAATATTCTTCTTTTTCTTTTTTACCCCCCAAATCATCAAACAATTGACAGAGATTTTCTTTTTTCTCCAGAATAAAATCAAGACATTTTTCTCAGAAATAAGTTTTCATAGGTTTTTTTTTAAGTTCATTTAAAAATTTCTCTCAATCACAGACGTGTCAAGCCCCTGTTCTTTCTTTTCAATAGTCTTTGTGAAAATATAGAGTAGAACAGTCTTCTTTCCATGTCTGTCCACTGCAGAAGTAAACAAATACAGTATGGGATCCGACAGAGCACATTGCAGGAGACGGGGAGCAGTGTGTGTGAGATCTTTGCCAAAAATCATGTACTTATGTATAGCTTTTCAGAAGTTCAGTATCTCTGTGTGCATCTGTACTGTATCTCAGCATGAGAGTGTGTGTATTCAAGTGAGTGTGTGTACATCTGCGTGTCTTCACACTTCAGTCTGGAAGTCTCCCTCAGATGAGTCGGGTGTGTTAGCAGAGGAGGAGTCCCAGTTCTTATTGTGCAGCTCCATTCGATCCTTCTGCTCCCCAGGCACGATGGACAGCTCGGGAGTCATGGTCTTGAAGCTGTCCCAGGAGCTCTGGTCCTCCGGGGTTGACTTGTCCTGATGGAGAAGAAGGACAAGGAAAAGGGGCCATGTAAGGAAAGGTTAGCTGCAACCTGAGGCGCCACATGGAATTGGAAATCAGGGTCCAAAGTGCCTTTAGGGCGTGTCCATATCCACTTTAGCTAATTTAATGGTGGAAAAAACGATTGCTGTGCCAGGCGCATGGTTCAAAAGGGTTGTACTACCTTGATAATGCATTTTAAGCAACATGAGCTCTGGACTGGAAAATGACAATTGTGACTGTCTGAAAGACACTTGCGTAATGCTTGGTGCCGAATTGCGAAGTTTTGTGTAAGATAAAGCCCGAAGTCTCAGTTAAAGTTAAATTCTTGTTTCAAATAAGATGGGTGGTATTTTCATGGTTTTGGACATCATTTTAATCTGAATTGATGAGTGTAGCAACATTACACAACAGGTACACAAACAGTTATATTAGACAATCACACTGTGTTTAAATAAATCACCAGGTTAGCTAAATTTATTTGGAGGACAAAAGGAAGATTAGTTGCAGTATTACCTGAATTATCTGTTCTCAACATTCCTCCTATTTTACATACCAACTCCCAGATTAACAATTGGGCAAATCCGGACACTAACCAAGGGCAACAAAGGTCCTAGATTACCTGTGCAGCAAGTACTGTGGTAATTCAACTGACTGTAAACTTGTGTTTGAATATGCATTAAAGCACAAAACTAAACTAAAACTAAATTGGTAAGGGCATTTTTCCTTTACTTATTCCATCATTATTACCTTTATCATACAATTTTGCATGTTTTTGATGCAGATTTCAGTATCTTCAAGGAATAGCTCATGCTTGAGAAACACGCTTATTTGCTGTCTGGTGGAGTTACATGAAGAGATTCATAACTCTCTGTCCATTAAATATAAAGCTGGTTAGAAAACAACTAAAATTACCCTCCAGCACCTCTAAAACTCGATAATTACCACATTATATCTCTTATCTGAAGTGTAAAAATGACAATTTGCCATTTTATGAGCAGCTATATGTTGGACTCCTTCTTGGAAGGCAGGTAGTTCAGTTTTTCTATAGATTAAAGAAACAGCGGACTGACTCTCAAGAAAGCATGTTTGTTGTTATACTAAAATGCACAGGTGATATTCTTAAATAACTTTGCTTCCAATCAAAATTTTAACCAAACAAAATTGGGGAAGTGCGATGATGGGGAACCAGGGGCCCACAGTTAACACTTGCCCTGGGTCCCCGTGGTGGGTCAATACAACCCTGATTTCATGTTTCCAATTTGACCTATCATACTCACAGCAGTTATGTGCACACACACCCTTCCCGTGCGATGGATTATTACAAACATTTTGGCCTTGAAATAAATGGGTTGAGATAATCAGACTAAACTGTTGGCTTGTTTGCAACCTGTGTGATTATCTGGCTGCTCATGATTGTTGCCATGTCAGGCAAGATTGTTTCAGCAATCGAATTTGGAGAGCACAGTTTTATCATAATAGGTAGAAATCAATTCCAGCACTATGAAATAAGACTCAAGTTGTAATAATTAAAAAAAAAAAAAGCAGCACCTGGAAACCACAGTTTTGACCTGTGTGCAGATTTGGAGATGGATTCATCAAATATACACTCACAGAAGCTGAATTTGATCTTATGTCTCTAACCTTTGCAAATGTCAACATACACACAGAGAGGCTCACCACTCAGTGCCATTTCTTACAAGTTATTTAACCTCACAAATACTAAACAGCAACACCATACCTACCTGCCCTTCAAGACACCTCTCCATTTTTCTATCTTCTAAAAAATCTGTGCTATTATTTAGAGAAATGATACCTGCCCTCTTTCATCTCCCACCTCTCCCAATCAGTAACTTTTCAATTAAAAGCATGAACCCTGCTAGACCTGGGTCTGTGATTGCTGCATGTGGTCCGCAGTTGTGCCCACCATGCATGTAAAATACATGTTGGGGGATTAGCTTCAAAACAGAATCAGAGGTAGCATTATGCATCAGATAAGGGCCATTATTCAAATCAGACTCGTTATCTCGTGGAGATAATGATTTCACAGATACGAGCTGGGAAAAGACATGAGGGATTGCCAGCCCAGATGAGTCTTGGTGGAGCAAAACATAGAAAGACAAAAAAAAAAAAAGAAAAAGAAAAAAAGAAAAGACAGACTACTCGTGATGATTTCCACAGACATGATGGACCCAGCTGCAGCAGAGCTTTTGGACTTCGTGAAGCTTGAATATTCATGCTCCAAATGAACATTCAGAAGATGAATATTCGCAGAATTTTCAGCACCGTATCCTAAGATAAATGCTTTGTAAAGTGGATTTGAGAGCAAATTCTGTGATGTCCTTCACCCACATTCATCAATGTTCCTGTTTGTACATACTGCATGTAATCCATTAGAGGAGAGAGCGCTACTGTATATGCTCCTAAGATCTACCTCAGAACAACTCAGCTCTTTCATTCAGCTTCTGTCATTTTGTTTTCTCTACACTTTTGCCCCACAATCCCGCCTTCCTGTCTTTTTTTACCTCCTTGTCAATAGTACTCACGTGTAATTCACTTTGAGCCTTTCACACCCTCAAACCCTGTCTATCTGAGACGAACGCGCGCGCACACACACACACACACACACGGTTCATTCATTGATCTGCAGTAGCACAGCACTGCCTTCCCCTCTTGCAGTGTGATGGTCGTCGCCCAAGCGCTAGGGGGCAATATCTGCCTGATTATCATTCTCCCTGCGTCACAGCCTGACAGTTGGTAAAATGAATACAAAAGGCATAATCTGGGAGCCAATTTGCATGCTAAATGCTGGCGAAGGAACATTTTGTAATGCAGGAGTGTGGGTAATGCTGCAGTTAAGCCCAACTTTATCCCTGGGAGACTAGGCTAACGCGATTGTGCTGCTACTGCGTGTCTATCCATTCCCTTTCGCCATCTCTTGCCTGCCTCTATTCCCTCCTTGCCCCAAAGCCCCATCTCATCCCTCTCTCTCTCTCTCTTTGCCAGAAACCCCTCTACTTACACTCGACGAGTTCTTTTCACCTCCGGCAGACGAAATGCTCCATCGCTTTTCCCTCTGTGGTGATGAAATGGGAGGGAGAAGACAAGGAGGAGGGAGGGTAACGAGAGACAGAGAGAGAGATAGAGAGAGGGAAAGAAAGAAAGAGAAGAAGGGGGGGGGGTCACAGTCACTGACAACTCTGCCCTGAAACAACAGCATTGTTCCCACACCTTCAGCAGGTGAACAGGCAGTCGTTGCTTTGTGCTCACACTTTACCCTTTCTCTCTCTCTCTCTCTCTTTGTCTCCATCTCTCAATCCCCTCTCACCAGCTCTCTCATGAGAGAACATAACACGTGTACACACTGACAACACGCATACACGAACAGAAACAGTGCGGCATGGTTATACACACATTATCGAGCTATGTTGAAACAGGTGTTTTTTTTGTTTTGTTTTTAACATCCTGACCTGTGAAAGCTGAAGAGGAAAACTGAGGAAGCAAAGGCAAGGGCGGAGGAAAAAGATTTCTACATGCTAGGCACGACTAATAGCAACTACGTCTAATAAAAGGATAAAAGAAAAGGACAGCATGTGGGCGTAAAGTAAGCTGATTCTAAAAGCCGTAACAGTGACTCTACTGTGCAGTGCTGGAGGCTTTACAGCTCATGTTTTGTAAATAATGTTGAAAGAGGATAACTAATCTGGTTATAAGTGCATGGAGACGCTATCTACACTATCTCCATTATTGATTTTATACTGTTTTGTGTTAACACGTTAAATAGTGAACGCTAGGTAATAAAGTGGACATTGCTGACGCTGTACGTTCTGCCTCCGATTTAAACACATAATCCTAACTTCCCCTGCTGTACTTCTGCAGTGTTATCAGTCGTTCTTTTTATGTCCCTGTCTTCCTCACGATGGGTGGTCCGGAGTTTGTTTTTGTTCACAACATGCACTGCTGTTCAGAAGTAACAAGTATTTTCCTACTGGGCTGGTCAGCGTGGGAGCTGGTGATGAATCCAGCAACAGCAGTGCAAAAAAAAAAAGAAGAAAAGAAGTAAATACAAATCTCACAGTGTTTGGTATTGCAGTTCCTTTGGTAGTTATGTTGACTGGCCAGCAGCTCAATACATTTGTGTGTGTGTGTGTGCGCGCGCGCTCGTGGGTGTCATTAGGGGATTGGTGTGAGTGCTCATGTCATTTGTACTTTCTGAATCCCAGTCTACCTAAAGTCTGGGCCCAGCTTGATTCCCTACAGTGGCCCTTACAAGTCGGGTAATATTGACCAGTCAGTATGGCTTTTTTTTTTTATCTTGGCTTGAAGTTGTTGTTGTAAAGAAGTTCCTGCAACACACGAGTTTTATGCTCTTATTTCACTTCTTTCTCTCTGTTAAAAGAAGCAGACGAGACTGCACATCATTCTGTCTTGGAGAGCTGTTTATGAAAGTGTTTGGGAGTGTGTCTTTATATGTGTGCTCAGAGAGAGACAGAAAAACAAATCCTTCACTGTTGATATATAAGATTTAAGATTCAGATTCACCCACTCGGAGATTAAAACCATTTCTATGTCTTAGCAGATTGCCTCAGGGTGTCTTGATTTACTGTCATGTGTGATGTGCTCATTACTTAGCTTAGACTACATTTATTGACGATTTAAATACATTTGGCAGCTGCGTCAGTGGTGGGATGTAACTAGGTACATTTACTCAGTTACTATACTTAAACACACATTATTCAGAACTTTTTACTCCGCCACATTAATCTGTCAGGTTTAGTTTCTACTTTACATGTTAACATTCCCATTCTAAACATAAGATCAGTTTATGCACTATGATGCATACCTTATCGTACCGTATAAAGTAGTACCTCCATCTCCACCAGCTACAACAGTAAAATGTTACTAAAACATCAGTGCATCCATAATTACAATCCAATAACATTAGATATACAGTAATAACATAACAGTATTTAAAGTATTTAAGTGACATTTTCAA